GGGGGGGGCCCTGCTGCACCCCGGGTGGAGCTGGGGCAACAGAGGTTTCCTCGGCTCTGCCACGGGTGTGAGCACTGAAACCACCTGCAGAGGTGATGCCTCATTTCTGTCCTGACTCGGTGCGGGCTCAGCTCCAGCACTGGCGTGGCCTTCACCTCTGCCGAGGTGGGGCACTTCCCTGCTAGCTCCGTCCCCCCCATCTCACCCGGGTGACCCTCAGCCAGGGGGTCAGCACGCTGGCCATTTACCCCAGGGACAGGCTTGGCCTTGCTGAGCCAGGCAGGAGGCTTTGCCTGTTCTTGCCCCTTTGCCTGTCTGTGGAGGTTGAGGAAGAGGCTGCAGATGCAGAGACGCCCTCCCCACCCGCAGAGCCCTCCCCATGATGTCCCCCCATCCCAGATACTAAATGCTTCCCAAAGCCACTCACCCCTGTGTGTCCCCCCTCTGCCACCTCCTCTTGGAGCCCAGTGAGGCTTTTCCCCCCCAGCGGGAGCTGCCGGGTTTGGGGGCTACAGCTGCATCTGGCACCAGCATCTGTGGTGGTCATGAATGGGGGGATTTGTGCCCCCCCCCCCCCCCCCCGTGTCCATCTAACGCAGAGCATCTGTCGGTGCTGGAGCTGCTTCAAGACAAATGGTTTTGTTTTGATGAAATCAGGAGCAGGGCGCTGCCCCTATCCCCCTCCCTGCCCAAACAGGCAGCAGCGGTGGGGTGGTGAGGTGGGGGCTCACAGCCGGGGACAGTGGACCCATCCTGGGGCATGGGTGGGCATGCGGGTGCAGAAGCCTCCTGCTGCATGCGTGGGGAATAACCCCGGGAGATGCTGGCAGGGGCAGTGAGCCCCAACCCCTCTGCAGTGCGGGGCCAGGACTGGCCAGTGGTCTGTGGGCTTCCTGGCATAGGGACAGGTTGCAGGAGGGGCTGGGGTCTGCACAGCCATGCACCCAGCTGGGTCGCAAGGGAAGGGACATGGAGTTGTTCCTGCCCCCTCAGTCCTCTGGGCCTGTTGGGGAGAAACTTTCCCGGCCCCTCTTGGAGGACAGGAGGCAGCCTGATGGGTGGGGGGGCCCCTGCCAGCTCCCCCCGGCCCCCAGCTGCTGCATTGGACCTGAGCTCCCCAGTGCCTCGTCCCACTGGGGCCGGGGTTGGAGCACTGGGCAAAGAGGCAGATGTGGCTGCCTCCCCTGGGCAAGCACCTGGCATACAGCGAGTGCATTCGTCCCTGGGGGTGTGTGTTTGTGAAAGCATTCCTGCTGCAGGGAGGACAGCCCCCCGGGGTGCCTCCCTGCCACGCTGTGTGTTTGCTGGTTGTCCCTGCTGGGGGGGTCTCTGTGTGTGTGTGTGTTTGAGCGTGCGTCTCCCTGCTGGGATGGACAAGCTCTCCCAGCCCAGCAGGTGCCCGTCTCTGCTGTGTGTGTGCAGATCACCTCCCCCCCGGCCCCCCACCCTTCATGGCTGCAGCTACCTGGGATTCGCCATCTCCTTTCCTGCACCTGAGCCCGGGATGGCAGCGCTTGGGCAGGCGGGAGAGATGCTGCCCAGTGCTCCCCGCAGGTGATCTCCCTGCCTCAGCCTTCCTCTGGCTGCTGGTTTATGTTTATGCATTAGCTTTTTTCTGTGCATTGAGCATTAAATCTTGGGGGTCCCTCAGAGTAGGGCTGGCCTGGCTTCCTGCTGGTTTGGGTCCCGTCCAGCCCCCCAGGTGCACCTGAGAGCAACGGGAGAGACCCACGGTGGGGCAGACTGTGCATTAACTCCTGGGCACTTCCTACAGCCATCCTTGGGCTCAAAGGGGCAGCTGTAATTTTGCAGAGAGGAAGGGAATTCCTGGCCAGCAGCCTCCTGGCCTTCCCAGGAGGCGGATGCTTGCCTTAGGCGTCTGGTCCCCGATGCCCAGGTGATGGCCTGATCCGCACCAGGTGCTGAACAAGAGCCAGTGGTGGAGGGCGGCAGCGTGCCACTGGCCCCGGGGCAGGCAGGTGGGAGCAGGGTGCAGCCAGGCTGCCTGGGGAGAGAGCGGGGTGTGGGGCTGGAGCTGGGACATCGGGTGTCTTTCCTCACCCCTGCTCTGGCCCTGCTGCCTGCCTGTGCCTTTGGAGGAACATGCCTCCCCCAGCACCATGCCTCAGTTTCCCTCCTTCCTGGCGGGTGGGAAGGTGAGATAGCGGGTGTCTGCGAAGCACCTGGAGTGTTGCTGGCAGGTTTTCCTTCCTGGATTAACCCTTTCCAGGAAAATCCTGCCTTGCAGTGCCGGTGGCCATGCCAGCAGGAGGCTGGTGGCGTGGGACGCTAGCCTCCAGGAAACTCACCCCGCTTCATTCCCTTTTCCTTGCTGTCACCCAAGAGCCGTCACACATCTACTGGGTTGTTGGCTGACAGATGGCTTTGCTCTTAAGCAGATGCTGCCAGCTCTTTTGGTGCAAGGACACCCCTATTCACACACACCCCCAGCTCCCATTAATGGGGAGAATTTTACCGTTTCATGGCTCAGAGCCTTCTACCCTATTTGGGGCCAGGGGAGGGTAAATGGGGTTTGGGTGGCAGTGCAGCCCTGCAAGCCCCCGTCTGGCCAGGGGTCCCTGTGGGCACAGAGCTGCAGGGACCAGCCCCAGCAGGACGGTGCCCAGATGGCACCTGCCAGGACCAGGGGAGCGGCTCCATGCATCCCCCCACCTTCCCGATTCCTGCAGATCTCCCGAGCTGACCGTCGTTGCGGCGGGTGCTGTGTGCTCAGCATGGCTGAGCTAATCTATCGCCAAACAAACACACACTGTTATTCCGAAAGAAGGTTTCCAAGCGACTCATTTCCCTTTTTTTAATAACTCTTCCCTGTGGTGCCCTTTGCACCCTGAGCTGGGAGATTCAATAAGGCTGAAGCCTGGAGCGTGGCGCAGCTCAGCCTCCCACTGAAGGGGGGGGAGCAGCAGCTGGGGAGGGGAGGCACCCAGGGGTGCCCCCCGGCCAGACCCAGTCCTGCTCTTCCACTGTGTTGTTCTGGCTGAAATCCGGGGCCTGCTTTATTGTGTCCCCGCACCCCCCCCCTTGTTTTTAATTGCCAGTTTTCTGCCGGGCACTGGTGGGGGGGCTCAGAGGGGGTGGCCCTAGCTGGGACAGCGAGGCAGCCAGAAAACCGGGCGCTTCTCTCTGCGACAGCAGCCCTAAGCTGAGTGCCAGTCAGCCCCACTGCTAATCACACCCGTGCCAATTAACACTCCCAGATTAATGACTTTTGCCCCCCCTCCCTCCATCCACAGCTCCTCCTCCCGGGGAGCCAAAGTCCCGGCAGCCGGTGGCCCAACAGTGGGGCGATGCCGTGCTGAGACCCCAGCAGCTGAAGCCTCCCACCCCCTGCCTGCCCTGGCCAAGCTCCAGCATCTCTGAAGAGCTGCTTGGCTCAGCCTTCGCGCTCAGGCGCTGAAGGTAAATGGCCCAGGAAAGATGAAGCTTCCTCTCCAGCCGCTTGGATTGCTACTAAAGAAATAATCACGTCCCTGTGCCCGTGTTCCCCCCTCCCCGCCTTTTTTCCTGATCGCTGTTGCAAAAGGAAAGTCATTGTGGAAATGAGCACCCAGCCTGCAGAAATGATCAGCTGCAAAGAGCCTGCAGGGCCCTGTGCTCGTGGTGGGATTAATTTTCCCTTCCCCAAATAAATCCCCATCAGACCCTGTTGCTCAGACAGGGGCTGACCGCCGTACACCCGGGGCAGGGCAGGTTGCTCGGCCCAGTGCCGCTGTCGGCACAGACCCTGTCCAACCCCCGCGGCTGTCCCAGCACCTGAGCTGGCCTTGGTGGGTGTCATGGTGGGCAAAGACCCTCTCATTCCTCCTCCTGTCCCCCCCAGCACTGGGCAGCAGAGCCCCTGTCTTCAGCAAGCAGAGCAACGCTTTACACTGCTTCGCCTGCTGCCTGCTTGGGACCGGGAGCCTGGACAGGGTGGTGCTTGCAAAACGGGGCCAAATCCGGCCCCCGGGGGCTGCGAGGGAGCTCCCAGAGGGCGGTGGGCTGCAGGGACCCATTGTCCCCTGCTCCTGGGGGGAGCCGGTGCCCGGCTGTGGTGGGGCACAGTCCTTGTGACCCCGGGACAGTGCAGCCTGAGAGGAGCTGCAGTCCCAGCAGTGCCCCTGAGGGTCCTCTGGGTCTCTCGGAGAGTTTTAATCAGCCTCTGCTGTCGGGGGGCATGCGGGGGACAGCCGTGTCCCTGCTGCTGCTCCTCCCTTCCTTCTCCTCCCAGGGGGAATAAATCCCAGCTGGCCCTGGGACTGTGCCAGGGGGGAGAAGGGGGCAGCAGGGGCAACGCAGTGCTTG